TCGTAGAAATGAATTATATATAGGTTTTTTTTCAACATAATTGGACTCTACTGATGAGCAATTAAAAATTTTATAATTTCTCTTTAATTAAAAATGAAAAAAACAAAATAAAACTTCGACTTCATAAAAAAAAACATCATGGTTCCTTAATCATTTTCTAGGACCGGAACTTATGAATGCATTTAAATTAAAGTTATTTTTGATTAAAATCCACTCAAGATAATTTTAAGAAGAAAATGAAATGGAAAAAAGTAGGATTCGAATCACTAGAACTTGAAAATTTTATGTTTAATATAAGAATCGAATATTATTTAATTAAACCTGGGATCTGTTTTACATTAATGGCCGTTCCAATAATTTCATTTTGAGATTTCAAGTATTGATGTAAACTTGATGTTTCGGCCCAAAAGATTATAACCATTCTGTCTTTTAAGAACTTGTCGGTTAAAGGGAATATTTATTTTTAAAACGAGCCCTAATTACGTTGAAAACAGGCTTAAAAGATTTCCAAAGATGAAAATAATAAAATTTTTGCATTGATCAAACTGGGATATTTACATTTCCATTTTAAAACAAAGAGTTCGTGCAAATTAAATATTCAGATGAAAAAAATTGATTTCTTGAAATTTTTAACCAGAAAATATGAAAAAAAATAAAGGAGCATATTTTTGTCTTCGAATCAATAAAATTTGTATTTTTTTTGATATTTATATTTTATGGTAGAATTGGTCATTAATCAATACATATAAATATATATATATATAGATATTAAGTTTAAAATTATAAACGAAGATAATAGAAGATAAAAAAAGGGTTGCATTTAAAAAAATTTATTTTATAAAAATAGATTAGATTTATGATGAAATTGAAGAAAAATTTTATTAACATAAATTTGAAGAGTTCCTTTCTAGAAAGAATCAATTCATTTGCACATAGTGCGGGAAATTGTGTTTTTTTTTTTTAAATCTTAAGAAAAAGGAATTATTTCCGACACTATCTTGAATGCCATCAAACGATTTGAATTACTAGGCGATTTGAAAACATAAAGAAGTTCATCAAACAATTTTTCCTTTTTTAAAAAAAACTTTAAAAAACTTTAAAAAGAAATAAAACTGGAAACGGATCTAAAGTTTTAATTTTATTTTCTTATATTTCCCCATTTTACAACAGATTTGAAAAGATAATCTTCGATTTTGTTTTTTACTTTTTCCATTTTTTAAAATTATTTATTTAGGAAAATGATTCCCGCCTTTTATGATGTCAATAAAATTTTATTTGTTTTTAAATTGTTTCATTTTTGAAAATAATTTGAACGGAGATTTAAGATTTTTGGGAAATATGAAAATGAAACCATTACTTTTACAATGAATTAATTTTTTTTATTATTAAAATTTTAGTTTGAATATATATAAAATATAAACTTTGGTCATGTAATTTAAAATATATAAGATAATTGAAAGCTTTTTGTAATAAAATTTTAGGCAATTATTTTGATTTAAAAAAAAAAAATTTACTCATGATATATATATATATAAAATATATCCAATTAATTTAGAATATTTTTAGAAAGTGAAGAGAGAATTTAAATAACAATTATTTAAATATATGAAAAAATTTCTTTTAAAACATCAATTAAAAATTTTTTCTTTTCATAAAATTCTTTTTTTTGAATTCATTTTGAACAATATGACATGAAACAATTAAAAATAATTTAAATTTTTTAATCTGAAAAAATTCAAATTTGTGTGACACCATTTACCATTTACAGGGCAAAAAGAAAAGAAAAGAAAAAAGAAAGAAAGAAAGGAAAAGAGAGGCGAGACCCGAATCGTAGATGATAAAAGAAAACACCCACGCTAAGGAGACAATTGATAAATGTTATTTTGATAAGTAAGCAAATGGCGAAAAAGGTGTCATTACAATTGCAGGGAAAAATTAAAAAAAATGGATAAAAAAATCGACTATGTTCTGGTGGCGAACTTGTGTTATCGGGGGATAGATAACAAACCGCTTAATGCTGGAAAACATCTAATTATCAAACCACAGACCGACTAGCAAAAAAAATCCAATTGAAAATGTTATTTTGATAATTGACAAAAAACAGGTGAAACTAAAAGGGCTTTGGATAGATATAGAAAAAAATGTAATTGAGGGGCAAACAATATATTGTCATAGAAAGGAAACCGTCTGTTAACACACACGTGTCAACTGACCGATTTTTTTTTTTGACAAGAACATCTTTAGCCTGCGATAATAAAATTATGTTATCAGAAATATGTACCGAAAGAAATGACTGGGAACAATGGAACTGTTTTTTCGAGGGAGACGGACGACGTTTGTTTGTGTTTTTTGAACGACCACCCATTCTGATAATTGGCGAAAAAATGACTGACGAAGTCCAGATGAAGAACAAGAGGTTATGACCATTATTGGTCGCATTGTTCTGTTGGCGGCCAGAGAAAATGATAACTGCGATTAAAGAAAGAAAAGGAAAAGAAAAAGATATTTTTTTTTTTTGAGCAAGATATAATTTTTTTTTCCTGAAACAAAGCCAGCTGGATTCACACACGCCCGACTGGACATCATTGGCCGAGTGGTGATAACGAGGGCCAGGCGGAGGTGATCACGTGACGAAGGAAGCTGCCGCCGCCCATTTAGAGGATAGGTATGAAGAGGTTGCTCCGAAGAAGTGGGGAGAACCAGTTGACGCCCCTCTGAAGTATGGTGAGAAGGTGGGATAAGAGAAGAAGACTTCCAAAAATGGAAAAAGTGGAAAAAAATTCCTAACCAAAAATAAAAAGAAGTGGATATGTATTTAGAATTATCGAGGAACCCCCGACCCCGACAAACCCACCCCGGTTTTGGTCGGCGTCCATATAAGCAAAGTCGCAGCGAGCAGAAAAAGTAGAGTTCAGGAGAGTTTCAGCGGAGTTTGAGTTGAGAGTGTTCAGTTGAAGCAGGCCTCGCAGATAGCTGACTAAGATTCACGCAAATTCCGGACTCATCTTCAATCCAAGAACAATTATTTTGAAGAGCGACTTAGATCCAGACCACCAAAAAATAAGTTTTTCGACTTTCGCCTGAAGACACACCAAAAACCAATTTCTTAAAGAACAAACAACTTAAAATGTTAAAACTCGCCTAACAAAAAAACAACGTGTCACAATCCATAGAACGGGTCGGGAGATAGACGCAGTCCTATGTATCCAACAACCAGACATAAAGTATTGTTATCCTTTTTTTTTTTGATACCTTTGAACTTTTGAGTTTTCATTTTATTTTCTTTTATGCATATTTGTGCGATATCACCCCCGTTTGAACTCGGTTTGCATTACGGCCCCAACGACTGATTGATTTCGTCTGCCTAAGATCAATTCACAACGTGGGTAGGCAGACTGGAGATCAACGCAGTTACTTTGGTAACCAGACGTTGGAAGCGAGTTGGGAACGACGAGGCTGATATCGAATCTAACCAGATTCCCATCCGAATCACCAAAAGGTTAGAACGTCACATTTGGGTGCCGCGACCGATACCAAGCCAGTTGGTCGTCACAGGACGGGACAACACGACTGACGCGACAGGCGGACGTCACGTTTGGAGCCAACCCAAGAATTACAGCACCTGGTATTCCCAAGCGGTGAAGATCTAAATACTGACCAGGCTGAACGGATGAAACAACGTTGATCGTACGAGAAAAACCTTTCATCTTGAATATCGAAGAACGATTGGCAGACAAAAAGAAAACTTGAGAACTCTTAGAAAGGTCTGTATTAAAGGTTGTGAAGAAAAGATATCTATTGCAGAAGGACAGAAAATGATCGTTGAAAGAAACAAAAAAGCTATTAAGAAAAATATAGTTTCATAATAGTGTCAAAAAAACACCCAAAAGTACTTTACCCTAAAAAATGGCAGGAAACAATGAACAATTTCTCACAGATGAAACAGGCTTAACAGAGATGTGGTTCTTAAAAAAAAATGAAAATACACCGGAAAATATGGGAACAGCTTTAACAAAGCTGGAAGCAAAAGGACGATTACATTTAGAATCAAAATAGTTGAAAATTATGCGACATTAACATTTGAAAAGTTTGGCATAAAAAACGTGTTCAGAAATAGAAGAATAATTTTATGGGATTAGAAAAAACAGAAAGAAAGTTTGAAGCAAATAGGCCGGACTGTTATTCTTTCCTAAAAATTTATACAAAAAACTTTTCATATCGATTTACTAGTCTAATTAAACTTATTTTCATAACGGATTTGTAACGACAACCAAAAATTTCTTTTTATAGTTGGTTCTTACTTTGGATCTATAAATAGAAAAACATTATTTATACTTGTGTCTATAATTTAAAAATGGTCGTGTTTATGAATGGTAAAAAATTTTACAACATATGGAAAAAAAAATCTTGTGAATCCTTACCTCGAAACAAACAGAAATTGTTTCCTTAGCTATCTGAAATAGAAAAAGAATATTTTGTAGGGATATAAAGACTTTTGGTACCTTGGAGTCTAAACAATTAACGATCATGTTTATATTTGAGTCTAGACATAACATTGGCCGTGTTTATATTTTTATTCTACAGGTTGAAGGTGTTCATGCGTGAGTCTATCAAAATAAAAGGATATGTGCCCTTACTTGAATATATAGGTGACTTTGTTCGTACATCTTGGAACCTAAGAGATTTATCATGGAGGGATTAAAAAAAAGGATTTAAAAAAAAATTCTAAATAATTTCATCGACGGAGATTATTTTGTGACATTGACCAGTCTTATTTATGTAAAATGTGAAAGTATTGATTTTTATTTTTTATTTTTTGAAAAAATATTCAATTTGAAAAAATATCTCTCTCTCTTTCTCTCTTATTCTTCTAAGGACCGTCTTAAGGAAACTATTATTAGTAGAAGTCAAAGAATTTTAATATTCAGTTCTTTTCAGCCTCGTTCTTTTTTCCTTCTCAGTTACCTGCTCTTAATTTTCAGCTTTTTTCGTCACTGGAAATGTCTGAAATCGGTATCTTCCTCATTTTGCACGTTGTCAATAAAGAAGAACTTCTTTCGTGAAACATTTTATGTCATATCTGAAATTTTTCGCTGCCCGATCCTCACTTCCACTTTTGTCACGCGTAAAGCCTCTCAGAATCTATCGCCATTTCTATGACAATGTTATGGCGACTGTTACATTCCCTAGTCCCAAAATGAAAACCTTTGAAACTGGGAGTTCCGTGTCACGTACAAAACTATGAATCATTAATTGTTCCCTTCGTAATCCATAGTAAAAAAAAATTCCAAGAATTGCTGGTTTGTGAACAGGCTCCGGGTAGGATGCATTAAATCATTACCAACTGAATTTTATTTTTAAGTACAAACTTTTTTTTAACAATTTGATTTGAAAGATTAATTACGACTGAAGTTTTCGATTATCACTGAGTGTTTTTTAAGGGAATTTGCCATAACAAAAAATTTAAGTTTATTTAGAAATTTAACGCCTGAATAATGATAAAACTTTACTAGGTACACTGCATTATTTTCGGCCTTGTAAATATCTAAGATTACGCTTAGAAAATAAATAAGGAAATATATAAACTTGACCTTAGGGACGATAGATTAAGTTATTTTTTTGCATTTATGTGAACTATAACTTCTTGCCTTTTCTTACGGCCATTTATTTTTTCAGTTTCTCTCGTTTCATAATATTTTTCTTCGAAGCAATTTCTTCCTTTGTTTGGATTTTTTTATTATTTTTACGTTTTTTTTTTTTTTCTTTTCATTTTCATTTCATTATTTTAAAATGCGTTTCATTCTTTATTTCTTCCTTTTTTTTTCACATTTATCTTCATTTTAAAACAGATTTTTCCTTCATAAAAATGAAATTTTTTTTTTTATTTGAGATTTTCCTTCTAATATTCCTATTTGTTTGCCTTTAATTTTGTTTATTGACACCATCTTTATTTTTGCATCCATTTTCCTTCGAATATTTTTTTCGTTCATCAGTTTTTTTCTTTTCCTTTTATTATTTTTACATTTTTTCTTCCTTTTCTAAATAAATTTTCTGCATCCATTTAATAATATTTTTCGTTCATCAGTTTTTCTTTTCCTTTTATTATTTTTATTCTTTATTTCTTCCTCAGATTCTTTTAACTTTTCGTGCATCCATTTTCCTTCATATTTTTCGTTCATCAGGATTTTTTTTCCTTTTAAGATTCTTATTCTTTATTTTTATTTTTTTCTTTTCACTTTTCTACTTCCTTTTTTCAGCAAAATTTTTCTTCATCTATTTTCCTTCATTTTATTTCACTTATTTTTAAATTTTACTTATTTTTAATATTATTCTGTATTTTCCTTTTATTTAGAGTTTTTTTTTCGGCATTTTTCTTTTTTTTTTCTTTTTTTGTGAATTTTCTTTCTTCTCGCTTCTGTTTTTCTTCCTTCTTTTTTAATTTTTGTCTTCTTTCTACTTTTCATTCCATTGTATTCTTCATTTTTATTGATTGAATTATTTTTCCATTTTCATCACTTTTACTTATCTTGGTTTCCCTTTTCCTTCTTCTTATTTTTTTTATCAATACTTTTTTCTTAATCCAATTTTTAAAAACATTGCCTTTACTATTAAAGATAAATAATGAAAAAAAGAACATTCGAAATTTTCTTCTGTTGTCTTCTTTTTCTTCTTCCTTTTCTTCATTTGACTTCTTTTCCTTCATAGAAAAAGAAATTTTTTTTCCTTCTTTTTTCGCAAAAAAAAGAAAAAAGAAAAAGAAAGAAAAAAGAAAGAAATTTTTGAACAGGCAAGAAAGAGAATGAAATGCACATATTTCAGAAAAGAAAGAGAGAATTTTCTTCTTTTCAAACGAGAAAAAAAGAAAGTGAAAAAATTTTTTAAAGAAAGAAAAGAGTCATTTTTTTTTCTTCAAACGAGAAAGAAAAAGAAAAATATCTTGAAATGCTTCTTCCTTTTAAAACAAAGAAAGTGAGAATGAAATGAACAAACGAGAAAGAAAGAAATTTTTTCATTGAAAGAAATGAACAAACTAGAAAAGAAAGAAAAGAAAGAAAAAACGAAATTTTAAAGAAAAGAATGACAAAAATCGAAAAAGATTTTCTTCCTTTGTCTTCTTTGATAAAAACATTTAAATAAGCAAAGTTTTCCTCTTCTTCAATGTATATTTTTCTTCTGTCAAATTCAACACAAATAATTTCTGATCCGACACTCGTCACTTTAAATTCTTTTGATTTTAAAAGTAAAAAAAAAAAAATTTGTCGTTGAGCTTTTTTCTTCTTTTTCAGATGGGTTCAGGAAGCCTAAGGAGCGCATCTTTTTTTGGGGGAATCTCAATTAAAACACCATATTGGAGCTCTCCTCGAATGGATTTCCAATGCTTAACCTTCTTATTAATATATTTGGACAAGTCTTACTGGCCCTGAGTTGTGCCGACGCCAATTCATATATTTGGCTAATACTACTATAATGACTACTATTAATAATTCAAATAATAATCATTCTAAAACTTTATGAAATAATGCTTCTTTTCTGCTGTCGAAACCATGATGTTTTTTTGGGTTTTTTATCGTTTTTAACTTCTCAGGTTCTAGATAAAAACAAATTTCGTTTATTTTAAACTTGATTGGACCATTTGTCAATATGTCAATTTTAAATGAATTTTAAAATTTTATTAGATGAAAATTAAACTGTTTCTTCATAAAGATGGTGGGTGCTATATTTTATCAATTTTCCGGTGGAATATCAACAAGAAAACAAACGTTTCGGGTAATTTTAAAGAAAATTGGTCGGAAGTGCTGGTTTAACACTGAGTGCAGAGTATGTTTTGGTCTGAAGTACATAATGGGAAACAAACACATCAAACCCTCTTAGAAAATTATCCTTATTAACTTTTAAGTTTGATTCAAATTAAAAGTATCTTTTAAATGAAGCAACATTACACTAGGAAAAGGTTGATTTTTCAGTTTTTAGAAAATCGAAACTATACTTTAAACCTGGGATTTGATATTGATGTAATGAATATGCATATACTTGGGTTCCCCCCTCACAGTAATATGATTGTCTGGTGTCAGCCATAAATACAGACTGATGTAGAGGTATATGGACTACGCCTATTGTCTTCGCCTATTGCCTACCACTACGACGAGGACCAGTCCATTACATTTACCTGCTAGATTGTCCTACTCAGCTACAGTAGTCCAAAACCACTTTGCTACTTCAAATATATCCTTTTCGGGACATATCATACTTTAGTTGAATTATTTATTTTAGTCATATCTTCGGCTAATTTGCATTTTAGCAAAGATTAAAATTTTTTAAAAAATTTTGGCAATTATGTTTGATTTTATGTTACGAAACCAGTCTGTAGATGTTTTTTTTTTTTTGCGTTTTTCCAGTGATTTACTCTTAACTTCTTCCTTCGGCCAGAATAAATTCTTTCTAGTATCGTTTTACCCGTTCACTTTTGGTTGGCTTTACGAGTCTGTATGCAGGCTAAGTTCTGAAATGATCCTTGTGTTCTTTTGCACCCTTCGGTCAGTTATGCGCCATGCGTGACAAACCCTTAAGCGATCATGTATTTTTCGATGCATGACTGACGAGGCAGATTTTTTTGCCCGCAGTAGGTTGTCATTTCTTTCTGCAGTAGACCAGTTGCCATCCAAAGTTATAGAACCCGGTCTGTACTGCTATTTACCCTTAGATCGTGGGAGAAGAAGAGAATTTATACGTATACCAAGGGTATTAGCACGTAAGTGAATTTCAGTCAGTCATGTGCCATGCATGATACGCGCTTAGGCTATCATGTATCTCTCGAAACATGACTGACGAGGCTGATTTTTCCCGCAGTAGGTTGCCATTTCTTTCTCCGGTAGGCCAGTTGCTATACAATGCTAGAGAACCCAGTCTGTCCTGCTAGTTACCCATAGCTGGGAGGATAAGATTCATACCTTTCCCGAGGATAATAGTACGTAAGTGAATGTAATGGATTTCGATACATGACTGACGAGGTAGATTTTTTCCTGCAGTAGGTTGCCATTTCTTTCTGCGATAGACCAGTAGCCATCCATCTAAGGCTATAGAACCTGGTCTGTCCTGCTATTTACCCATAGCTGGTGAGGAGTAAAAGAGGATTCATATCTTTCCCAAGGATGTTAGCACGTAAGTGAATATAATGGATTCGACTGGAATTCGAACTTGGTCTCTCCGATTCCTAAATCCTCCACCGTGCCTCTATATCGATTAACTACAGAAACAAAAACTTAGCACCCTATCTTATCTGAAAAAGTAGAATTTATCAACATTGGTTGTAAATATTGATGAATCCGGAACGGCACCAAATAAAATCAGAGATTTTTATAGATTTTGTTAAACAAATGAAATCAAAACCAAGATGGCGTTTTGTGGTGAAATTTTATTGAAGGTAAATTTGGCTTTACTATTACGATTACGACGTAAAATCTTAGTCTAACTGATTTTTTTCTTTTTCTTTTTTATATAAAGGTCAGGGCAAAAGACAGCTAGCCAAGAGGAAAGGTCATAACGACAGATTTTTTTTTATGCTGTGGGCATTTTCTTATTTGGTTTATGGAGAGGAAAAAAAACAGTAACATTTTATTATGAATGTGTTTTGAAATATAATTAGCTAAAAAAAACATAGAACACTTCGCCAGCTAATTATTTTCCGCCACGATATGACAAATCTCCAGTCCATTCCTCCCGTCATAGGAAAAGGACATTGCGTTAAGCCCAGTGGGGCATTATTAGCTCTCGATCTTGTATTCCTGATAATAATTTTTAACTTTTTCATATTTCCTGGCATTAAAAATGTTTTGAAAGTCGATTAATGATGTAAAAAGGCTGCTTTTAAATTCTCGCGACCCTCAGTTCTCAGAGAGTTATATAAATGGTAGGTATTATCGCTTATAGAAATGCCTTGGTGTTGACGGAGATGTGGATAAATAAAGTTCATATTTCAAAATGATTGCTTTTAATTCCTTTTTTTTTCCACGAACGTTTTGAATGCTCCTCATATAGGTAACTGCGAATTCGATTTACGCTATAGCGGCTAATAAAATATTTAATAGGAACTCTCTATTTTCGAGAGATTAGAAAAACCGACATTAACTCGGAGACGTCACAGTTCTAGTAACTGTGAAAATGAGTGTGTAAAAAAAGAGAGAAAAGCTGCAATAGTATTTGGACCTTGTGACAGAGATCTCTATAAAAATGTGGTATATGAAGGCAATTACCAACGGCAGAGCACTTAGAACGTTCCCAAAGAACCTTTTCAAAAAAAAAAAAAAAAAGAGTGGAGCACTTGGAGATCTGGTAAAGAACTTGAGCTATTTAGCTAACTGAATTATTGAGAATAAAAGCGATGATGAATGAAGCGAAGAATAAAGGTTGAGAGGACTAGCCCTGACTTGATCTGCGAGAACCATCAGACACTAGTGTGAAGATCCATTAGAAAAATGTCTAATAATAATGGAAGTTGACAAAGAAATTGGAAGAATTCGTCGTTGGGTTTGTCCAAACAATGATGAGGAGAAATTGAGGTGAGTGTCGAGGGATTTGAGACTTGTTCTTACTTCTATCGTATGGCTAATGAGTTCCAGTGGAGTCTTGTGAGAAAAATTCCGATATTGCTGAGTATTTCCCGAAGTTTGATAGTTGCATATAAGCACGCGGACAAGTGTAATAAAAGAGAAAAAAAGGAGAAAAAAGAAAAAAAAAATCACGAATGCTGATTATCAAGGAAGCTTCATTCTCCTTCATTTGAAGAATTAAAATCATTACAATTTGATTTCACCTAAAATCTGCCCTGAGTTCCGCTCAGCCATGTTTATCAAATGATAATTGCGAGACATAGAACACAATGGAGTTTTTTATTTATTTCATGTTCATTGTCTTTTACCACTGATCAACCTTCTGTGTTTTATTTAAAGCCGGACCATATATCGAACTGTAGGAGGTCGTATACTGAACCCGGTGACGCAAGCTGCCTAAGTACTGACTGGGCGCGATTCGGGGATCGACCGTTAGGGTCGTTGGTGCATCACATATGAATAAGTCTAGCGGATACCATCCTTTTTTTCAAGCTGACTTTTAATACAAAATTCTTCTTTTCATACACTGGTTACCCTGTGAAGACAAGTATTGTCTATTATTTAAGGGGTTGTGTCTTTAGATCTTTTGTTCTTATATTGGCTGTAATCCAAGGTAAGAGAACCAAATCTTCTCTGTTTTTGCACCTATGACTAGGGAAAGATGGTTTAATATCTTTTTCAAGGGTATTGGAACGAAATCAAAGGAACAGACTTACACGGAAATCGAACCCGTTGTGCTGATTTCACTTTCTGTGACCACAAATGTTACACTACATTTACATCTCAAATGTAACAAGCAACGCTAATGAATTTGTTCGGGATTGATTGATTTATTTGGGATTTTTTTACGGTTTACCAACCTTTTGTGGGTAATTTAATGTGTCGGTTTTTAAAAAGAAATTCTTTTTTTTTTCAAAGTTCCGAGAGGAACATATCTATCTATCTATCTATCTATATATCTGTTTGTCTGTCTATCTATCTGTCTGTCTCAGACTGTCCTTTTCTATTTAAATTATTCTGTTCTTATTTTATCTATCCATCTATCTATCTATCTATCTATCTATCTATCTATCTATCTATCTGTTTGTCTATCTATCTCAGTCTTTCCTTTTCCATTTAAATTATTCCGTTCTTATTTTATCTATGTTTATCATTTTTTTCTATCTATCTATCTATCTATCTATCTATCTATCTATCTATCTATCTATCTATCTGTTTGTCTATCTATCTGTCTGTCTCAGTCTGTCCTTTTCTATTTAAATTATTCTGTTTTTATTTTATCTATCTATCTATCTATCTATCTATCTATCTATCTATCTATCTATCTATCTGTTTGTCTATCTATCTGTTTGTCTATCTATCTGTCTGTCTCAGTCTGTCCTTTTCTATTTAAATTATTCTGTTTTTATTTTATCTATCTATCTATCTATCTATCTATCTATCTATCTATCTATCTGTTTGTCTATCTATCTCAGTCTTTCCTTTTCCATTTAAATTATTCCGTTCTTATTTTATCTATGTTTATCATTTTTTTCTATCTATCTATCTATCTATCTATCTATCTATCTATCTATCTCAGTCTATTCTTTTCTATCTAAATTAGTCTGTTCTATTTTATCTATCTTTATTAATTTGTTTTATCTGTCTATCTCGAGGTGGTGTAATGGCTAGCAAGCTTGTCTCGCTAGAACAATTACGACTGAGTAATGAGTTCGTTCCTCACTGGGTGTCCCATACTTTCAGCCTTGTGCCACATCTAAGCTACTCTTGGAAAATCACTATCTATCTATCATTCTTTTCTTATCTATCTCTCTACCTGTTCATATCTATCTATCTATGTATCTTCTTATATATCTACAAATGGAATGCGACGGAAATGAGTATTATTCATTGGTCAGCATTGGATGTATCTCGTTCGAAATTTTGTCATGGAAATAGCTATAGAGTAGCAAAATGCTTGCGACGTTTGTGAAGAGGCAAGTGAGGACTGGGCAACTCCGGTCCAGATATGGCAGCAATACTCCAATTGTTGCCTGATAAGTCAATAAACACAATGCCCTTTATATAACATGAAAAGATTCCATCATCCTTCCTGCAGATGAAACAAGCTTGGCCTTGTTTTGGAGTAATTGAGAAGAGTACACGGATTGTCTCTGGCTCAAAATGACGAACGCAACACTCATCCTGAGGTAGGGAACTTTCAAGAAAACCAACTGTATTAGCCTTAAACAATTCCAAACTTTCCCGCAATGTGGTTAGTTTGTACGCTTTTGATCAGGTGTCTGACGACGTGGGACATACCGAGCAAAAACCTTCCTCATACCAAGTTCGGTGGGTAGAATATTCTCAAATGTCTCACAGACTATGCTAATAGGATTGGCTATTTGATTTATAGACAACCGTCGGTCACCCATCAGCATGTGGCGAACACGATCAATGTTTTCCTCGATGGTGACAGTTACAGGACATACATTCCGCCATATTCAAGACTCTTCTTTTTTCTTCTATATTCAGCTGTCTAATTTTGCACTATTGATAAAGGTGAAGCATCATCCACTAATATAGCAACCATGTCAGCATGAATGCCCGGGGGGGGAGGCTAAGGCTCTTTTTATCCAAGTACTTGATAATAGCACGATTACAAATGTTCATTTCGAAGAGAAGTCTGTACTAGTTACATTTGAAGTCTTCTTTGAACATGTCAGCTTACATGGAAAGAAACAATGCAGTTATTAATATGAAGAGTTGAGATAAATGCATACAAGATTTCGCAGCTCCAGCATAACTCTTTCATTGTCAGCCTTTGAACTTTTCAGCCCACCTTCGTATTTGGAAGGAAACATTGCAGTTATTAATAAGAAGAGTTGAAATGAATGCATGCAAGATTTCACAGCTCTAGCATCAATCTTTCATAGTCAGCCTATAAACTTTTCAGCCCACCCTCCTACCTGGAATGAAACAATGGAGTTATTAATAAGAAGAGTTGCCCCGTATGGGGGGGGGGTTTCTATGACTCTTTTTGTCTAGGTACTTGATAATAGCACGATTACAAATGTTGTTCATTTCGAAGAGAAGTCTGCACTTGTTACATTTGAAGTCTTCTTTGAACAGTCAGATGTCAGCTTACATGGAAATATATAATGCAGTTATTAATAAGAAGAGCTGAGATAAATGAATGCAAGATTTCACAGCTCTAGCATCATTCCTTCATTTTCAGCCTATGAACGTTTCAGCCCACCCTCGTACCTAGAAAGAAACAATGCAGTTATTAATAAGAAAGTTGAAATTAATGCATGGAAGATTTCACATCTCTAGCATCACTCCTTCATAGTCAGCCTATGAACTTTTCAGCCCACCCTCGTATTTGGAAGGAAACATTGCAGTTATTAATAAGAAGAGTTGAAATGAATACATGCAAAATTTCACAGGCCTAGCGTCACTCCTTCATAGTCAGCCTATGAACTTTTCAGTCCAGCCTCGTATATCTGGTAGGAGCTTCAGTCCGATTAGACTTTACATTAAATAGCCACCTTTGAGAAAACATCCATCCATGATGAAAGGTAAAGGTTCCGGTTCTGCTCAGCGATAAGGGAAATGCTACTAGCTTTGTTCAGATCGTATTGGATTTTACAATTAAGTTCTTCCCCGGGTTGAGACATCAAGAATAAATAGTTTCCAGGTTCTCGTCATCCATATTTTCGGATACAATCACTAAATGTTATTAGGTTAGGTCATTAATATATAAGCGGAACTGCGTAGGATCGAGAAGAGAACTCTGTGGAATGCTGTCATTTAATTCATGGTTTTCATGTTTGGTCGTTAATGGTGACATTCAGAGACTTATCATTTTGACAAGAGTTGAGAAATTTGTTCCACAGTTCTTTTGCTGGAGACATTATATATCAGCCCCAAATGCCGGAATGTAATTAACTGAAACAACGTTTTAGTCTCCTTTCTTTCATCATACGGTTAGTTTTAGACCCACTGGAGTGACAGGGTGTAATCAATTTTTTTTCCCCAGATTAGGTCATTTGCAGTGGTGTGCCGTAATATGAATCTATTTTCAGGATGTATGATGAAAGTTATTTGGCCTTGAAAAATATTGCGTCATCCGTGATTTTATCACGCCTATGAACTATTGTCTCGACTGTCGATTAGTTGTCTTACGGCCATTTTCTGCAATGGACGTTACCCCAAGGAAGTGTACGAAAATTGTAACGGTGCAAGAACACAGAGGCAAGACTTACCAATGAGCAAATCAAAGTACTATGAAATGGTCCGGAAACTCTCCTGCTTTAAATCCAATCGAGAATCAGTGGTCAATCTGCAAATAACGACTCCATGGAATGGACATACGAAGTACTAACATGTGTATTGGGTCATGTTTCATTGGAAAATACTAAAAAAATAAATAATAACGGAAGTATTCTTTTGTTTCAATTAATGTGCATAAAGGTGTAGTTAACCAGGACATTCCAAGCACTGAAATATTTTTTTTTAATAATTTCTCTGCAAGCAAGGCAATAGAGCCTCTAAGATTCAAGGGATTATTGAGTGTGAGGGAATATGAGAAAAAGAAAACATTGTTAAGGAGAGAGAATAATAAAAGGAGAGGAATTAAAAAGACCGAAGATAACGATTGACATTGCATTTAAATTTAAATTCTTGAAAATCAGAGTTGGCTAGGAAGTTCCACAAGCCAGAAGTCCGATAGATAGATAGATAGATAGATAGATAGATAGATAGATAGATAGATAGATAGATACAGTATTTACATTAGTCGGACTACTGTCCTCATCTTTGTCGCCATATTTGTCACAACGTTTCGGCTGTTGTACGCTCCGGACTTCTTCAGGTGGTTGGAATTTCGAACTGAACCCTTTATTTCGATCACTGGGGTAGACTGTTCTAGTTCCACGTACCATGTTTGATGGATGTCAGTTATCAGTTATCTCCTGCTAATTTTCCCTCTGAAAGTTCTCCACTGCCTTAACCAGGTATTGAACTCACCTTCTTTGTGTCTGTCACTGGATCTAACCAACGTCTTTATCCTGTGTGCCATGTGTCCTTGAGGACAAATATGGCGACAAAGATCAGGACAATAGTCCGAATAATGTAAATACTGTACATAATACCTCATCTCAGAAATATAGACAGACTCAGATAGATAGATATTTTTTTAATCAGTATGCCCCATGCAAGGCAGTAAAATCAGTAAGACACAAGAATGTCAATGTAATTTTCAAGTAGCATTTAGACTTGTAAGCCTTTAATTCACCAAACCTTATTTCTTCTATATAATACCACAAATTTCAGCACTTCTAAAAATATCTTTGTTTCTTTGCTCCTATTTTTCTAATCTTTCGAGGGTAGAACTCCATCTCGATAAAATTGTACATCTTTTGTCTCTTTCTGAATTCCCAGCTGAATAATATTGATAGCAAAATATTCATTGTCATGGTCACAGAATAACTAAGAAAATAATGAGGGTGGCTTTGTCGTTGTTGCTGGTAATGATCATGAGGATATTGAGAAAACATGGTGGGATTGTGAAAACGAGGCTGACTGATAGTATAAAAAGCGTAATGCAAGTGGCACGGAGAATGTGCAAAAGAAACACTTAGACAAACTTGCTAAGTGCTGGAGTAACAGCTTCTAGAATAAGAAACAAAAAAAAGTGGAAAAAAGAAAAAGAAAACAAAAAAAAAACAACAATCTCTAACATTAAGAATTAAAAAACACAAAATATGAGTGCGGCTGGCGTTGGCAAAAACAAAACAAAATGGCGGAAAACAGAAAAAGGAAATAAAGATATAGAAATATATAGAGAAGAATTTGAAAGGAGAGAAAGAAAACTGAAAATTGGCTGTCCGTTGTTATTAGAAGCTCTAAGGTTTGGGTCGGAAAACAGTGATATTTGCCAATTTTCGCAACATTCATTTCATTTGGTGAAATAAATGAAGGTTGACTTGAGCAGTGACGATGCCATATCCCAATTCCGTTTGTCTGAAGTTGTTTTATAATTCCCACAACAAACCCACCTATTACATTTCTATTTATAGGGATTTTTTCAAAAATTATCCCAGCCTATCTACGCTGGTCTGAAATAGTCAACGTTAGTCCTTACAGACCATTATTTAAATTGCTTCCTTCCATTAATCTTTCGTTTCCTCCTTCCTTCTTATCTATCTATTTATCTATATAACTCATTCTACATCTATCTATCTATCTATCTATCTATCTATCTGAGAGTGTTCCAATCAAATCAAATTTATTCATATTTTATCACTCTATCTGAATATTCTATTTTATCAATGTAAATTATTTTGTTCATATCTATCTATCTATCTATCTATCTATCTATCTATCTATCTATCTATCTATCTAAATTATGTTCATATCTATGTATGCATATATCTATCTGTGTCTGTTCCTATCTATGTAAACATTTTCAAATTTTACCAGTCTATCTGGATATTCTCTCTATGTAAATTATTCTGTTCATATCTATGTATGTATGTATGTATGTATGTATTTATGTATCTATCTATCTATCTATCTATCTATCTAAGAGTGTTTCAAAAGTTTTTTTCATATT